TGGTCACACTGACTATGGTAGGGATGAGCAAAATCTGGTCTGCAGGCTGAATCCAGTCCAGCAACTAATTGGACCTGGTCTGCAGCTGCCCCTGTGGCACTCCACATGGTGCCAAATCCCACCTGCTTCCACCTGGGGCAGCTCATGCTGCACTCCTACCTGCAACCACCAATGGAACCAGCCAGCGTGCACTACTTCCGTGCAGGGCTGCTCCTCCTCCTCCTGTCCCTGCTGCACCACTTGGGCAGCAGGTAGCTTGGGGAAGGGAAGAAGCAGCGGGGACATGTTCTGGGCACCACATGCCCAGCCAGGTCAGGGGGCGGGAACTGCAGCAGGGCAGCTCCTGCACCAGCACACAGGGCTCCAACTTCAGGCTGCCTTTCACCCACTTGACCCACCTAGTGCAATGAGCAACCACCTGTGGGCGGCTGAATGGGTGAAAAGTGGTTGGGAGTTGGAGCTACAGACCCATAGGCTGCAGCTTTCCTCTCAGCTGGCTGGGTGTGTGGTGGTGCCTGACATGCGTCCCCACAGCCGCTGCCCTTCTGCACACTATGCGCTGCCCAGAGTGGCACAGCAGGGGCAGGAAAAGGAGAAGGACCTACTGGAGGTGGGAAGAGTCAAGCAGTACCTGGGTGGCTACAGCCACACTGGGAGCAGCCCCACTGGGGAGTTGAGTGCGCTGGCCAAGGTGGGCATGGGCTGGAGCATAGTGTGGGCTGCCTCTGGTGGGAACACGCAAGGCTCAGCCCCAAGCAAAGCACCACCCACAGGGGTAGCTGCAAACTTGATGGTGGGTGAGGCGGGGGGAGACCATAATACCCCGGTGAGCTCTGCTGCATGTGCCCCCTCTGCCCTCCCTCCTTCCTCCCACCCCTGGCTGGCTCCTAGGACCTAGCCCACAGGCAGCCCTACCCACACACAAGCACACCCACCCCCCCCATCTCCCCCACACAATATACAAGAGTAAGATTTTATTTGAAGCTTTTATGCAATTGCCTTTATATACACTGCTCAAAAACACATAATCAGGACAACATTTTTTAAAATAAAATTAAAATATGTTACAGTAGATGCTTGAATTTTAGTATATGATTTTTATCTATAATTTGTTAAAATATGTTCTGAAAGATTTTGCATGTACAGCCCTTGTGACAACTCACCAAAACTCGTTAAATGTCCCGCCAGCCAAAATAATTGACCACTGCTGGACTATGGCCTACTTGTGAAGTAAGATACTACTTAACTAACTATGGGTGATAGAACAAGGTTTTAGATAACTTGTCTAAAAACAAGCCATTTCTACTTTAATAAATATGTTGGTTAATTACCATTTCAGGCAAATTAGGTAGATACAAAAAAAATCAAATACTACTGACATTAAAATACCATATTTATTCAAATAGAAGATGACTGATTATAAGATGACCTCCCAATAATTACATCCTATATATGGAAAATTTATAAATTTGTTACAATTTTTCAGGTATAGAATCTAATTATTGGAGGTTTGTCTTTGATTTGTCCCACTGCCACAGGAGGGAAAATAAGCCAGGGGATCAAGTACCCCTTTGTTTTGTACTTCCCCACAACTTTTATCTTTGGCAGCCTCTTTCACCTCTCCTTACAGTCAAGACCCCAAGCATGTAAAAGTGAAGAGCAAGTCTGAAAACAATAACCTTGAAATTAAACATGACTAATGCTCTTTATATATAGTACCCAAAGACTTCATTCATCCTGCTAGGTAGGTACGCATAAGTTGTAAAGCATGCATGATATTGATTTAAAGCTAAAAGACTCATGATTTACTATGTACTTCATTGAGGTGGGCCCCACCAAAGTCAAAAGAGTTTCAAGTCATGGTGAGCCATGACTCCAAACCCGGAATCCCTCTGTTGCACCCTCTCTCAGCCCGGTGCATATTATTAACGTCGCCCCATGCTCCTCAGCGATCCCATAGCTCACTGCTCAGTATGTCCACCACAAAGGATCCACATGCTAATTAGCCCCCAGCCATGACTGAAACCAGGTGCTCTTGTCACAAGTCCTAGGATGCTCCAAAAAATTTATGTGCAGATGAGGCACTGGGCAACCTGGCAGTTTCACCTCATGGAGGGTGGGGCCATACTAATCACATGCACCAGGCTTAATGTGGGCTATGTGTTTTATAATAGTGTTTCCTGTTGACTGCATTTAATTAACTTCACAGTTGGTTTTCATTGTTAAGCACATAGGCTGCTTGCAGATGTGAAAAAAAAAAAAAAAAAAACAACCCCAAAAAACAAAAGAGCACACTTTACTGGAAGAAGCAGCACATTACTTCGACTCAGCTCCACAGCATCTATACAGATCAGGTGTTTCAGCAGGGCTTTTTGGTGCTCTTAGCTAAAGCTGATTAAATCAGCTATTAGATAAAAGCACTAAAAACCCGCACTAAAACACCCAATCTGTACAGACGTTGGTCAAGCCAGGTCCAAATGATAATACCCTGCCTCCTCTGGGCATGAACTGGGTTTAGTGTGGGAGTGTGTGGAATTTAAAATAAAGTGCCACTTTTGGGGGTTTTTTTAAACATCTGCAAGCCGCCATACTACTTTTCGCAGCAGTTTAATGATAATGTATTTAGTGATATTTCTTTGTATGCAATTATGAGGAAATCTTTTCCCCATGCCAATTGGGGGAAAACACCTTTTCTTGGAATCAAGTAAATATGATAGTTAAAACTTCAGAAATTTAACTAACACTGGGTGCATTTACATATATACCTAACTGTGCACTACACTTGTTTGCTGCAGTGTAAAGCATCACATTCTGCATGTGCAATGCTACTGGACCACAGGAAACTAATTTTTGCCAGGGACAGTACCATCTTAGGACAGACAAAATAACTGCACCTAAACATGTACATGCTGACCTTAGCAGCATCTGCATGTGCACCATGAACCACAGCAGTTTGAGCATCTACGCATGCCATTAAGGTGCTGTAATAAACTCAAGCACAAGCCGTGCTGGATTTTATCATGTTGCCTTAATGGCATGTGTAGATACCCGCACTATGAACTAACAAACCTGGACTAGTACTAGGAACCCATACTCAAGAATATAGTCACCTTCTCGAAGACAGAAACTATTTACCACTATGTAATTTTGGTGCAACTAGGTTTTAGTTTTGCAACACTTGTATATACAACCACAGCAAAGGATGTACAACACTTTTTTAAATCTACAAAAAAAAAATCAAATCCATTTAAAAAAAAATAAATTAGAACCCCTTTTCCATAATTTTGCTTCAAATTAAATTATGTTACTGAGAACAAATCAATGTTTCATCTTTCCCTTCAAAATCATGATTCAAATTTCACATTACTATAATGATAATCATTCTTTTGCCAAAAGGTGGCGCTGACAGCTTTATCATTCAAAATTTTTGTACGTGTAAGTTACATAGTTCTTTATTGATTAAAAAGGGGAAATAAACTTTAAATAAAATATTTTAAAGAAGTGTCTGTTGCGTTTCTCTCTTATTCTCTCACTTCAAATATCCAAGCAAGAGACCTGTCATAAAAATCCAACAATCTACTTTTCCAATCAAAACACAGGCTCTGCAGTAAGCACTGTAAACAAGCTGCTAGTTTTCTGTCTAATCAGGACTCATATCGCTTAATCAATATTCACTCTTCTTAACCAAATTAAAATAAAAGGGATATTCTTTAATAATATTCTCCCTCTAAAATGTCCCACCTTTCTAATTTGGACCTAAAAAACAGATTTTGCAAAACCGTGCATTTCTTGAACATGGGGCCTGATTTTCCATGCACTTGTGTTGCTGTAACCGTGTCCTTAATCGAGTTATTCCTGAATTACTTGGCACAAAAAGGAAAAATCAGGTTTATTGTAGATGTTCTCCATCATTTTCTTAACATTTTTCTTGCAAAAAACTTTGGCTGGATTTCATTAAAACAAGTACAAGAATGTACTACTAGAGGTCATCACCTATGGTCTGCAATTACATACCAAACACAATATTTGGCAGTTAATACACTGTATTTGAATGTCATGCAAGCAGGATGTGTTACATGCTAATAGTATAAACTGAAATAGAAATCAAATAGATGATGAATAATTTATATTTGTAGGCAACAATGTATTTGGGAACATCAAGCTGGATTTTTACAACATAAAAGCAAGCGTGAGCTGCTATGGCTCACACACACACTGATGGCTGCCATGCATACATATCATTTACTTTTATGAGACACTCTTCACATGCTGCATTATCTGTCTTTCCACATTAGCAAGTAAGACTAATCACAATCAATACCACACAGAGACCACAACACAAATAAAACAATATGATGGTTCTATGGTTTTTGCTGTCATAGAAACCTGAAGGGAACGAGTTATAAACCAGCTAGTTAGAATAGCTAATCTTGGTTTGAAATAAACAGGGGAAAATGCCTAATAAATATTGACTTTCCACACAGTTCTTCAGAAACCACTTACTATTCTTCCTGATTTAGAGAGAAATTGATAATGGAACTACAAAAAATTCAATTTTTAAAGCATTATAATCTGATAATTAGCATGAAAAATAAAATGGGTAGAGCTCCCCTTCATTAAATACTTTATGAAAGCCAGTTGCATAAAAAATAAAACACCTGAAATCACTGTTATATCCATTTTTGCTTATATCAGTTTAGAAGAATTAATGCTAAATTGATCACAATTTGTTTAATCATCAAGGCTGCTAGCTGAGATTCAAACAATAAACTATTTTTCCCAGGAGACTATAATCTCCCTTTGAAATGAAGGGAAAAAATGTATTAGCTAGGTAATCACTGAGACTTTATATATATAAAAATGCAAAAGAAGTCTCCATAATCAGGAAGACTTTTTGCAAAATAGTTTCAAGCATCAATTGATATTCCCTTCAGATTTTGCTAATGTGGATCACAGCTCCTACCTTGAATTTCATTATTTAAAATGAACCCCTAACCCACCTCCTGTATGTTCTTTTTCCCAGCTTCCCTCATCATGTTTAGGTTGCTGTAAAGAGAAAGGTCTGTTCTCTGGTGGCCTCAAGGTAGATTCTAGTCTGTGAAATTTGTGAATTCTGTCTCTGACAAGAACAGTATTGTCCCTCTCATCACGATTTGTAACCTCTCTTGCATCAGACCAGCCAAGATCCTTCTTTTGGACTACATTAGCAATCTCAGCTACAAGATCTGATTCTGCCTTTTCTGTAGGGTTATACTTATGGACATGAACAACATCTTCCCTTTCTCCTAGCAGCTTGGAAATGAGTGAATAGAAATCACCTGTACAGAAAAGAGAAAAGATAAAAGGAAAGGGGGAAGATTATAACAGATTGTAAAATTTTGTAGTTTTTTTTTTTTTTTTTTTTTTTTTTAATT